CCTTCATTTATACCAACTGTGTAGTCTGGTGATTATTGATAACAAGAACAGCTCTATTTTGCCTGTATTGGAAGAGATATACAATACATTTATTTTGGTTATTTTTAAGGAGGACTTGAAGGAAGACTAATTATTAAAAAAATCTTACTAATTTCTAAACGATGGTTCCAGTTTCCACTGCGAAACCACGAATTGTTTTACGCCAATTATATAATATATATTTGGATAATATTCCAATCTTGAACATCGACGAGAGACAGCACACATTTTATACTACGTAATTTTGTCAGTAACCGCAATCCTTTGATGCAAACGAACATATCATTAAGTAGGTAAAAAAAATGAATACGACTTTTTTACCAAAAGTTTAGTAATATATTTTGCTAAGTATTACCGCGGAGTTCAGCTTGCTGCTTAGCTTCTATTGGTCGTATCTTGATGACCTAGAGTATCTTACTTGACAAAATTTATCTAGTACTTAAAGTGTGTACTTAACTTAGGGATGACATTTAGATTTGAACCAGCAATTCCAAAGGTAAGCGTGCATTAACAAAAATAGCGTATTGTAGGACGCTTTTCAGCGAAGTGAATTGACGATATCCGTAGGGTGGCTGGCAGTCGTTGGATGAGAACAGCTGAATGCGACATCAGTGGTGCCTAGTAGTGGACAGAAACAGTCTGATATAGAGATAAAATAAAAAATAAAAAAACAACTGAACTAAACTCTTCAGCTTTGTCTAATACTTTTCAAAGAGCAGTAGCAGTTTAAGTGTGGGAGAGCCATGCTTCGGCACGAATGGGTCGGCTCGACCGGAATGATACCACGGCCTTACAGAAAACCGGCGTAAAAGAACCACTGCGTTGTGTTTCGCCGTGTGAGTGAAGTTACCGGAGGCCCAATCCTTCCCCTCCCCCAATCCCTTAATCTCCAAAACCCCAATCCCTAAGAGGTCGGCAACGCACTCGTAACTCCACCGTTGCGGGTGTCCATCGGCGGCGCTGATTGCTTACCATCAGGTAATTTGTCTGCTCGTTTGCCAATCTATTACATAAAAAAAAGTTCTGTTATATACCTATAATTATATTCATATATTGTGTACGCTTCGGAGAATCAATCCAGTTAGGATTCATTTTCAGAAAAGAATTTCGCCATCAATAATATGCAAATAGCGTCCAACACAGTGATAAAAAATAAAAACTAATTTAAATGCAGAAGAAGTTTTTGCTCGGTTCCCATAACTCTTTTAGTCCTTATCCCTAATGTGTAATTCTTTCCATTGTACCCCATTACATGAAGGTAATTACCAAGATTCACAGAACATCATAAATCTTGTCTTTACGTGGGTTTTTATTGCGAAATCAGTTTTACTGTTTATCCAACGTCTTTGGATTGTACGATTTAGTTTGGGATTTGAAGGTCGATTGTTCGGGCGGTCCGAAACTTTTACTTACAAAATATCAAAATGATTTATTTATTTATAATAAATGAAATTAATATTAACATGTTTTTATAAAAAAAACCTAGCTACATTTATAAAATGATGCTAGAATTTCAGTTACAAAAACTATAATTTGAAAGGGTGATTTCTTTTTCGAATTATACCTATGTCAATCTGTAGTTTTATTATTTTTCCATTTCTTTATTTTTGTTATTATGTTTGGACCATTTTAACTATGTCAGTATACCTATATAATAAATCTTACTCTTTAAAACTGGTTCGTAAAGAAACTTTCTTTAGGTACATTTTTTATAGAATTTTGTACATAGCTATGTACAAAATTCTCAATCGCCAAGTCACGGTTGCAATTGCAATAAGGTCGTGGCCTGGAGCACAAGGATCAGAGGTTTTTAAGTCAGTAAGAGTCACACATCCTGTCGCCTCAAGAAAAGGCAAGAGAAGTCATTTGATGATTTCTCCTCCACGAAAAAAAAGTAAGTGCTATGATGGACCGCAGTCCGGTTCAGGCCAGTAGAAATGGTTTTTAGTCAGTAAGTCTGACATTCTCGTCACAACTAGCGCGAGAAAAATTATTGAAAGATCTCCCACCCTGAAAAAGGAACATATTACAATGAAAACAATAAACAATATTTACAATCAATCGTTTAAGTGTGGCAGAGCCATGCTTCGGCACGAATGGGTCGGCTCGGCCGGAGTGATACCACGGCCTCACAGAAAACCGACGTAAAACAACCACAGCGTTGTGTTTCGCCGTGCGAGTGAGGTTACGGAGGCCCAATCCTTCCCCTCCCCCAATCCTTCCTCAATTCCCAAATCTCCAAATCCCTAATCCCTAAAAGGTCGGCAACGCACTCGTAACTCCTCCGTTGCGGGTGTCCATGGGCGGCGCTGATTGCTTACCATCAGGTAATCCGTCTGCTCCTTCTATTAAATAAAAAAAAAACAATTTCAAATGATTGTAACCATAAATTCATACTACTTAAACGAAATGTACGAATAAATTGCAAAAGTACCAGGCTCCCATACTGACTAGGAGTACTTATAAACATTTCCACTCTAGAAGTGTTCATCGTTCGCGTTCTAAAAGCTAAAATAACAACTCTATCTCACTTCGCAGTCGGCAATTAAGTTGGTAAATGTACTTCACAATAACACTGAACATTTATGAATACCTGTGTATCTTATAATTGTGATTTTGTTATAGTTTCATATTTCTGTAATATAAATTTTAATATGCTTCTACTATAATTATTAAATATTAATTGTTTTGAAGGATTTGGCTAGAAAAAATGAGTCTTTAATATGTAGTGTCCTTAGTTAAAAAGAAAATATTTCATCAATGAAATCCATAAACTATACTTTCTTTGATAAAAGACAATGTGCATATTGGCCCTGTGCAATAAAAAGAATCTGAATACACGATAATTAATGGTCTTTTTTATTATTTAATTTGTCAACATTTTTCAAACACGGACAAGCTGTGTTCCAAAATGTGCATTTAATGGTATTTTACGTGACTAATAACATTAGTAGTGGTACCTACAGTTGGTTTTAGATGTAGGTATATGTACTGTTCAGAAGTAGCTTTTGTAATAGTTATTTAGATTGGCGTCCTTGGGTCGCAGCATATATGGAAAAAGCTGACTCTTATTCAACAAGAGTCTCAACATTCCCTCTTGACCCAACCAGGGACAAAAACTATGTCAGTTTTGGCTATGTACAAAGCGAGTCGTGGCGGACAGATGATAATGACCGCAGCGTACAACACGGCAGAAATTGGAAACGAATGCGGATGGTCAGCTGTCCGTTTTTATTATTATATTCATTTTACAGTAAAACTATTGAACAAATTGGACTTAAATAAAGTCAAGAATACTATTTTAATGTTTGGTTTTATTTATATTCATAAAGAAAATTATAATGTTAAATTGTTATTATTTGACAGCTTCCGCAAATGTTGTAAACATCAATGAAACACGTTGCTACCGTCGCGCACATAGCCAATAATTAGCCACAAAGTCAAATAGCGTAAATGATATTTAAACACCTGATTATACTCATGATAACAAAAAACTTTCTCAAAGACACTTTTTTCTATACTTATTATCATATCAAAACTACTAGCGGGCTAAAAGTTGATCAGGCGACGCACGAAGAAATGTAACATGAATATAAAATTAAAAGTTTCTTTGGGAAAGTTATTTGTAATCATGAGTAAAGCTGACTGCACGGTTGGTGCGGTGGCCGGGCAACTGGCTGCTGTGCAACGTGTCGCGGGTTCGTTTCCCGCACGGAAATACTCTTTGTGTGATCCACAAATTTGTTGTTCCGGGTCTGGATGTCATGAGCACGTGAAATTGTATTTTTGTAAACGCATACACGACACAGGAGAAAATCCTAGTGTGGGGCAATGTTTTTTATAAAAGAAAAGAAAGTAAAATAACGAGTTCCAAATATTGATCACTAATAACCAATCACCCTATATAGAAAGCGAAGCGAATTGTTGATTCCCCTACCCCCTCTCCCCGAAAACCTCTTCCAAACAATAAAGCACATATTTGCACAACACATATCACAATAAACGAACAGATTTAATTACTGGTTTTGTATTGGTAGCCAGGCGAATGTAGTTACTAAATTCAATTTATTTGCATTTGACACGTGTGGTGGGTCCTACTAAATATTTATATTTCCTGAATGAACTCGTGAAAATGCTGTATACATTAATATAAATTAAGTCTGTAGATGAAGAATGCTTTAATTTTTAATTTAAACTTTAAAACATAATTATTACAGTTGTTATTCCCTTAGAGTTCGAGCTACATAAAGATGGAATTTAAAAAAAAAACATACGTTTCGTGTTAAAAAGGAGGTCCGCAACTGCTTAATTGAAACTGTTTCAGACTCAAGAAATTACTAGGGATTTCTTAAAAAATATAATTTAAATTGTAATCGGTTTTGTGTTGATTTGTATTTAATTTTTTACTGTCTTTGACTTAGCAAGTCATATTTTTTTAGGAAAATTCTTATTTAAATCTTAAACCTTAAAATCAAAATTTAATTAAAGAAATAAAATCAAACACATTTCGTATAATAAATTAAAATCTTGATTTAATAGCAGTAAATTGAATTAGTCTACAAATTGAAAATTAATACTAAATACGCAATAACTATTTGTATACAGAATTAAAATAACATTTTATTGCAATATTAACAATTAATTAATATCAAAAAGCCCGTAAGCTTTGTTGCAGCATAAATAAAGATTACGACTTTAAAACATCTTATTATTTATTAAAATACAGATTAATATAAAGACTTAAAAAATCAAAATAAATTACCTATACTTACTATATTGTAAAGAGGTAAAATTTTTAAGTTTGTATGTAGGGGCTAACCTTCGTAACCGCTATTCAGATTGCCAAAATTCTTTCACTCATAATAGCTACAATGTTTCCGAGTGCTATAGGCTATAAAACATCACGCTACGATGAAATGGAGCTGAGCAGCGGGTGAAACCGCGCGAGAGTAGCTAGATAATTATATTTTCTTTTTATCACCATTAACAGCACCAAACCCAACAGCCTTTGTAACGATGTGTCTTCTTTGGACATCATATCGAACATCCACTTTATACACTTTTGATTCTCTCTTTTTAATCAGGTAGCGACTTAATAATCTCGGTACTTCTGAACTAATGTACTGTAAAATAATCATTACAATTAAAATTGAGTACAAAAAATTTACAGATTAAATTTCGGAGAGACATGCTTTGGCACGAATGGGTCGGCTCGACCGGAGTGATACCACAACGTCACAGAAAACCGGCGTGAAACAACCACAGCGTTGTGTTTTGCCGTGTGAGTGAGCTTACCGGAGACCCAATTCTTCCTCTTCCCCAATTCCTAAAACTCCAAATCCCTAATCCTCAAAAGGTCGGCAACGCACTTGTAACTACTCTATTGCGGGAATCTATGGGCGGCGCTGATTGCTTACCATCAGGTAATCAGTCTGCTCCTTTGCCGAGCTATAATATCGCGAATGGGAATCACGGCCTCACAGAAAACTGGCGTTAAACAACCACAGCGTTATGCTTCACCGTTTGAGGTTACTGGAGGCTCAATTGCAATTAATATTCCTTACTCGCCATTTTTCTTTTACGTTGACATAAGCATTTGAAAAATTGACAGTAATTTTTTAAAACACTGGTTTTACAGCTGCTTTTCAGTGATATCTAATGGAATAGGTCTTAAAAATGTTATTTGCACACTAAGATGTATTCCACTTAATCAACAATTATAATTTTGATATAACTTACATATCTGGAACTGTACTGTTTTCTCAGTTGCCTTTCAGAAAACTCTCTGGGACCCCATTTGGGCATTGGCCGGAACATTAGTTGCCATGTCTGAAAGGTAATAAATTGACCAGTTGTTCTCTTTCTTATTGAACTAGACCTAGACGAGTAGACGATACATACCATTTGCTGTTTTATCAAGTACTGGTATAATACAACCACTACTCCAATGAAGAGAGGAATCAGCATGAGAGACCAGGACCACATGTAATGTGGTACTAACGATCCATACTTCTCATTTTCTAGAACATTCCATACCGCTTTCATCAGAAAATAGAATTTGACCTGTGGAACAACATGGTTTAAATCAGTGGTGACATCTGACTTCTGATAATTCCCTTAATCTGTTCTCAAATAGCTGGTGACGCACTTATGATTTTTGGGTTGTGGGTGTTCAGTTTTAAAGGACTAATTGCTTACCATCAGGTAAAAAACCAATTATTTTGCCAACAAACCCGAAAAAAAGCCAAACAATATTGATTCGAATTCTCCTTACGACTGGCTGCACAATTAATCCACACCATCGAACTTTGAGAAGATCTTTCGGTGGCGGTTTTTCCGAACCGATAAGACTTTCAAACTTTAAAAAAACGAGCGTACTCCTTCTTAAAAGGATGACAATGCGGCAGCGCCTGTGACTCCTCTGGTGCTTTAGGTGTCCATGGGTTGCGTAGATCACTTACCATCAGGTTACCTGATAGTAAGCAATGCACACTGCCGATGATCACCCGTAACATCAGAGGAGATACGAGTACGTTGCCAACTTTTTTGGGATAAGACATCCGGAGATTTAGGGATTGAGGGAGATGTTTAAGGGGAAAGTCGTTTGCCTCCTATTAAAACAATACTAGTCAGCCTGCAGTGGAACGATCATTTTGACCCATCCTTTCATATGAAATCAGCGAGGGTGATGACTGAACACAGCTAGGTCGATGAGCAACAAGATCGATAGGAGACGCTTGTAAAAATATTTATACCAACCGTATAATATACAGGTACCATTCGTAGACTTAAAATTCTGAGCTTTGTTGGTGGTGCTCCGTAGTGGAACGTGTAATCGTCAACCAGGCGACCCACTGGATACAGTAAGTACAGAAATATGGACTCCGTCATAGTCGCTACGCCTTTACTATAAATAAATAATATTGCTCTAGTCTGCAAGGGAGATTGTAAAATAGATTATTATCTTTGTGTGTAATATTATGTGTGGGTAAGTTAGGCTAAGTTAACTAGGTATCTCTGATAATTTTCATAAGAAGTCCAAGTTACTCTTATTGTGTAAAATATAAAATCGGATTTCATTCTGTCTTAGATTAAGTAGTTCATTTCTTATTCGATTCCGTTCTGATCTATATTTTACATCATCATCATCATCATCATCAGCCTATAAGTGCTTGCTACTGAGCAAAGGCCTCTTCTCATACGGAGAAGGTCAGAGCATTAATCACCACGCTTGCTTAATGCGGGTTGGCGATTACAAACTTATAGTAAGAAATTATCAAGTCCAAGGTTCCTCACGATATTTACCTTCACCGTATGTCAGTGGTATTTAAATAATCATAGAAAGAACATATAACTCATGGAAAAAGTCACATTGGTACTTGCCTGGTTTCAAACTCACACCCTCATGCATGAGAAGCGAGCTCCTTTACCTCCGGGCTACCACGAATGTCAAATATAACTTATTTTACATGTCAAATTTTAATTCCAAATAATCCATTTGTTAAATAAAAAAAAGTTGTAGTAGTAAGTGATAATATTCTTACCCAAATACTAGTAAGCGAAAATGTGAACAATGCAACAACTAGAAAAATGCTCTTTAATACAAATATTCTTATTTTCGGCCACTCATATCGTATTGTTTGTACCAAGCAATGGTAAGTTACAATCTGAAATAAGACATAACATTAAGTTGACAATAATAATATTTATGAATAAAACAAAATTACGTCATCAATAACTATACTTACAACCATTGTGAATTCCATTAGTCCAGAAAGTCCCATAAACAATACAGTAAATATATTTCCGAGATAAAAGTTCGAATAAAACATTGTCCACAAAAAGAAATAATTTCTTGGATCTGAGAATAAAAGTGATATTGAAGTTGATAAACTTGACCCAACAATGCACAATAATGGATCGCACCTTTCAGAAAATTTAATGTACCTACACTAGAAGTCTGAACGAATGGGAGACACCGAATCAACCAGAGTGATACCAAGGCTTCACATAATAATGGCGTAGTTCATAAGAATAACGCTAACGTTGTCTATTATATAGGTGTCGAGAAGACGTATTACTAGATGGTAAGTAGATGGCACCACCCATGTCCACCACTAAAATCGCAGAAGTCACGATTACCTTTTGCTGGCCTTTTGGGGATTTAGGCATTGGGGAGGGGAGGATTGGGCCTTTGGTTACGTAACTCACACGGCGAAACAGAACGCTTCTTTGACATCGGTTTTCTGTGTGTGTGGTAGCAGTCGAGCCGACCCATTCTTGCCGAAGCATAGCACAACCACACTCAGTGAAGATTAGGAGGCCCAATCCCATTCATTGAACATTTTAAAACACTGATCTTGCTTTTCTTTCTTTCCAAGGCGTTTAACATAATAATAATAATTTTAATTGTAATAAAAATGGCTTACAAAACTCTTCAAGATGAATTTCTTTTAGTATACGACTTTCAACGTATATTCGAATACGATTTGTTAGCAGAACTCTGAACAAGTAAATCAATGCATTCGAAATAACCATGGTTACAGAGTCTGTGCTTGGTGATATCTGAGGAAAAAAACAAAAATGTTACGACAATACAATTTTGGTAGTGTGGCGCACGCAGCGACAGCTCCAATCATATTCAAGATTCTACATCGTGGTAAAAAAGTTCTCGACACTATTGAAACTGATAAAAAATCCCGACACCTACCTTAATTGGCTTAACCCACCAGACATAACACCCGTCTGGTCGGAGGATCTTCCCTTTCAATGGAGCATGAAGAACTTTACACCCTGTTCCCACGTCTCTTCGTAATCGGATAGTCTAATTTTTAAGTCTCAAAATAATAGTAAGATTAGAAATTTTAGCTAACCTCTTGTGTGCTTCTAGCAGTCAGGACATGGATGACAGCTGGGGCCGTCATGGATTCAGAGATAACATCGACATCAGCAGACTATTCATCAACAAACCATAACATTTGTTAAGTAAAAAGATATTATTATTTAAATTTGTATACTTATTTTTAATTTAATCGTTTATTATAAGAATTTAATGCCCGGTTTCCGAAAGCCCGATCAATGTTAAAATCAACTAACTAGGTGTCAAATCTCTTGTCAAGTCATCTGATCGGTTATTGATAATTCAGTCAACCAATCAGATGACTTGAAAAGAGATTAAATTGATTTTAACATTGATCGGCCTTTCGGAAACCGGGTGTAGGTGTGGGAGAGCCAAGGCAAAAGCACGAATAGGTCGGAGTGAAACAACTATAAAATTGTAATTCGCCGTGTGAATGAAGTTACCGGAGTTCCAAACTTTCCCAAAAAAAAAAGTTGGCAACGCTCTCGTATCTCCTCCGGTTTTAAGGGTGTCCATGGGCAGCGCGCATTGCTTGCTATCAGGTAATCTATCTATACTGCTATATGCTCCGACCAATCACACAAAAAAACAACTTTTATATTATGCCAGAGTCGTCTCCGGTGGGATCGCTGTCATAAAACTATATAATAATATTATTTTTTTAACAGAATGGTAATTTTAAATATTGATTTGATACTTGAATTTGAAATAAATTCACTCATACTTGATTTACGTACGATAAAAATGCCAAAAAATAAAGAATACCAAAATTCTTACCCAAAACTGTGAGCTGAATATACTAGGGCCGTTAGACCGTTCAGAAGTTTTTATAATTGTTTTTTGTTCTTTTGTTAATTCACTGCTTTGACTTAGCAAATATATGAAACTAATTAAATCAATTATGTTTAATCCCCATTGGCAACCATTTAGTAACTGAAATAAAAAAAACGCGTTAAAGGACTTTGGAATTTAATAAACTCTCTAAGAAACTGCATAGTTGGAGCAGTGGTGGCCAAGTGTGAGAGAGCCAAGCTAAGTGTGGGATAGCTAAACTAAGTGTGGGAGAGCAAAGCTAAGTGTGGGATAGCCAAGCCAACTATGGGAGAGCCAAGCTAAGTGCGGGAGAGTCAAGCTAAGTGCGGGAGAGCCAAGCTAAGTGCGGGAGAGCCAAGCTTTGGCACAAATGAGTTGACTCGACCGGAGTGATCCCACGGCCTCACAAAATACCGGCGTGAAATAACCACAGCGTTATGTTTCGCCGATTGAGTGAGATTACCGGAGGCCCAATCCATTATCCCCAAAAGGCCGACAACGGCACTCGTAACTCCTTTAGTGTTGTGGGTGTCCTTGGGCGGCGTTGATTGTTTACCATCAGGTAAACCGCCTACTCGTTTGCCGATTTATTCCATAAAAAAGTGGTAAAATAAATGATAATTGAATGTCTCGCGTATAAATCCCAAATAAAATAGTATTTTAACATTGCAAAAACAAAGAACATAATATCATGAATACCTTCCAGAAAATTTTAGTCTCAACCAATTGATGGAACAAAGTAATTCCAAGAAAGAGAAAGATGAAGTAGAAGACGTTACGGAAAAAAATTAATTGGTTCATATTGTCATAGTTTCTGTAAACAAAGTAAATTAGTAGCACTAATTGCGCAACAAAAATTTAAGTAAGTTTAGTAATTAGTTTAATCACGTAAGCTATTGCTCAGGTAATATTACCATCGACGGTTAACGCCCCTTGGAAAAGTACAAATATTCATGTGCAAGTTTGGCGATCGTAGTCTAGTTACTGGAAAGTTACATAATGTCGGTATCCGAAAATCTCGTTATTTAAGTGGTTGTGAAATACTTAAATCAATCAAAGACAAGTAGCACTTATTAGGGTCTTTAAGTTTTAAAAATATTTAAGAATAGCTTCCGCCATTGGTATGTTGATTAAAAGTAGACTATGTCCTATTCTGGAATATATTCTATGCCTGTATACAATATGAGTGCCTTGAAGCCAGGGATCCCCGAATGAAACTATGTATCTCAGAGCAAGACAATTTTATTCTTGTCAAGTTTGCTATATACCAAACGAAACCATATCGCCATTTAACTAGATCCCAACGCCATCTATTGAGCTATTCGGTACTTCATTTTTATAAATAATTAATTTCGGTTATGTGATAGCGTGGGGATCGAGTACCCTCATTTTACTATTATTTCTACATTTAACAGCCTGTGCCAAATTTTATCCAGATCCTTCTAGTCATTTTGGCGTGATTCAGTAACAAACATTCAAACATCCAAACATCGTGACTTTCGCATTTATAATATTAGTAAGATACAAAATCTGAAATTTTACACATGCCATGTGTGTAATTAAACTATTAACATAACTTGGCAGGCAGAATCGATAGTATCATCTTTTTTGTCAAAAAGATTTATTTTATTTAAATAAATAAATAAAATAAAATAAAGGAGGGTAAAGTCATCAAATGACTTCGTCTCGTCCAGAGTACGGGGCGAGGGCATGACAGACTCCTCTTGACTATAAAACCGCCTGTTGCTTGCCCTGCTCTAGACCTAGGGCTTGGTGCCTTATTACAGCAGGTAGGATCTATAGAGCGTCACATAGCCCTTTTTCCTTTAATCAAGTTATGCACCTGATCAATTAGATAGTGTTATTAAACTTCATATACTTACAATAAATGCCTATAATAATCCATTTGTGATATTTGTATGTACTTCCCATCCGATGTCACGTAAGAAGAGTTATCGTACCCCAACGTAACATTTCTAAAATTTTCAGCAAATTCTTGTAAATTATAACATTGAATTGTCACATTTAAAAATGCGTTGTAGTAAGTTTTCGTATCACACCTGCAGGTATAATAAATTAATCATTAATTAAAAATATGTTTACCTTCTCACAGGTTTATGGTGTCGTGCATCGCTGTTCATGAATATAGAACCCTAGCGTGCTTGAAACTAGCCGTGTCATCTTGTTGCGTTACGTGATTAAGTCAAACATTATTATTTAATAAAACTAATATATATCAATAAACGTTTTAACAAAACACATGATTGAAGACTAATTGATTCCCATTTCACTATCGACCGATCGAGTTAAATAACAGCTCGAACATTTTTATTTAAGTTCCTAATAGTAACTTTTGCGTGTCGTTAGCCTGTGTAATATACTCGCCTGTTCCATGGATTTTTCCGTATGATTCCATCCATTAAGTAATGAAACAACATCATCACGGTATCCAAGCACAGAAGGATCTCACAAAATCCAGTCATCACTAGCAAATATTTGAAACCTGAAGTATTTTTTAGAAATCACAGTTTTAAAACGCAACGTGAAAACCAGTACTTTTTAATTTCTAATTAACTAATACCCTTAAAAGTATAGTATTCGACGTTCGCCATGACACGTTATAAGACGTGCGTTGTGACTGAAAAAAGTAGAGACTTTCTTGATTTACTCAAGTGAACAATAAATCATATTATATTATTAGTAAGTGTAGACGTTGTTTTGCCAAATAAATTAATACGAACGTCGCTCATACAAAAAGGTTGAAAGACTGTCATTAAGCAGGGGTATGAAAAGTAGCCAATAGCCGATTCCTAGACCTACTAAGAATGCACATAAAATTTGGTAAAAATCAGTAAAGCCGTTTCGGGGGTGTAAGGTGACTAACAATGTAACACGAGAAACTTACATACAAGAGAAGTATAAAATAAAATGTGCTTACCAAAGCAGATGGGAACCATTTTAGTCAAAAAAATATGCTCTTCAGGCGCATACGATGCCATAAAAAAATGGACGAAGCAGTGTGGTAGCGTTATAAAGAAGACGTTCAGAACGTAAAACCAAATGCATCTGCAAGGAAATAAAACAAAATGGCGGTACTACTATTATATTAGACTCTTAGATTCACCTAGAGTTAAGGAAACTACAAATGCGTGAGTTTTTTTACCTTCCGTGTCTGGTAGGGCCCTGCTTCATCACGACTGGGTTGGTTCAACCGAAATGATACGTCGTAATGTCGTGAAACAACTTCATCTTTGTGTTTTGCCATGAGGGTGAGGTTACCGGCGTCTCCTTTCCCACTTCCAATCCGTCCAAAACCCTTAATCACCTGCTTTGTTTTCTGGTGGCGCTGATTGCTTACCATCGGGTGATTAGTCTGCTCATTTGTCGCCCCATCACATATGAAAGGCAACACACGTGTAACTGCTTTGTTTTGCAGCTTCCAATTGGCATCACCATCTGCTTACGTTAATTTATCTTTATCGTGATGCATTTTGGAGAGTCTGCGCAGGAACTCCACGAGTTGATTCCGCCATCCCAATTTCACCTTCGGACATCCTAGTACGGCAAATATCCACCCTTACGTTGTTGAGACACCTGCAGCCCGGACTAAGCGTTTTGCCTCGTCATTTATACCGCGTACATCGAGGGATTGGAACAGTTTGCCGGCTGCAGTCTTTCCGTCCGAATACAATTTAGGTGTCTTCAAGGCTAGAGTGAATAGGCTCTTTATAAACTAGTGCGCCTTACCATCAACGATTGCATCACTGCTTACCATCATCAGGTGGGATCGCAGTCAGGCACTAGTTTATTGCAAGTAAAAAAAAATATAGTGTGCTTGTTAATGGTCTTTATTTCATAAAAAAGTTTCTTAAAACTTACGCATTTAACTCAACATATTTCATTAAAATGATCTCTGTCTTGCATGGCGTCGCTGTTAATGCCCTGTAGTAAGAGAGACGCTCCCATTTTGTTGATCTTATTATTGGTCGTTCTGAAGGTTTTGATGTCTGTAAGTTTAATATATATCAGAAGAAAGCCCAGACCTCATTCACATGGCTATCAGTGATGTTTTCATAATTATAATATTAGTATTGTTATTTTTTTAGGTGACAGTTTGGCAAACGGGCACTCGGATTACTTGATGGTAAGCGTCGCCCGCAACGCCAGAGGAGATACAAGTTCGTTTCCGTCCTTTTGGGGATTAGAGTTTCAGAGGTTTAGGGTTTGGAGAGGGAAGGTATAGAGGGAGGAGAAGGATTAGGTTGCCTGTAACCTAATTCACACGCCGAAACACAATGCTGTGGTTGTTTCACGCCTGTTTTCTATAAGGCCTTAGTTTTACTCCAGCCGAGCCGACCCATTCGTGCCGAAGCTTGGCTCTCCCACACTTAAATTATATGTTTAATTGAATAAAATACTCGTTAAAATATCCCTTATTAAACAATCCATGTTATGTTGTTTCGCCGTGTGAGTAAAGTTACCGTAATTGTTTCCTTTCCTCTTCCTGCCCTATCGTCAATTCCCCGAAACCTAATCCCCAAAAGCCGGCCGTCGAAACTCTGCTGGTGTTGTAGGTATTTATTGAAACTATTTTTTGATTCCAATGAGAGAGGAACATGACGACTGTTAGGACTGAAAATAGATGAAAGAAAACGTGACAACATTTTATCACAAACCTTGGCCACTAAATGCAAATGGAATCTAGGATTGTCTGGCGTCATTAATGGTGCTTCATAGTCATATGTAGTGCCAATCTCCTTACGAAGATCTCTATCCATGAAGACGCTTTAAAAGTTGCTAATAAACTAAAATCTTTCTAAAAGTTTAATGATCTTCTCCAATATCTGTTTTGTGTATACATAATGCTGGAATTATGTGATATATTTAATATTTTAGAAGGATGTTTACTCAATACATTGGTGCTTAAAATAATAATGAAGTTGCGAGTAGGAAACTGGGAAACAAGCAACATCTATAGTAACAAATAACTTATGCTGTTATATATATTAACTGAAAATTTAGAGAACACGTACAATTTAATCATAGTTTTTTTCCAACATAGAAATATCGTTTGCTTCGATGGAGAACCAAACCTTCGTCATGTAACCAAAACACTAAATCATAATTTTTCAGTGGTGAAAAAATAACCAATGGCACAACTGTTTATTCAACCTAAATACGTGAACCATAATACTTACTTTAGGAACATCCAATACACATTTTACCTAATTGCAGAAATATGATAAAATAACAATAAAAATAGTCATTTTATTATGTTTACGCTAAAACTGTCAGAAAGTAAAGACTACAGATCAAATATATTTTTAAAGAAGACGTGACCATATTGTACTCTTTGGAGAATAGCACAGACTTTTACAAAATGTAAAATCTCTTTGGAATATATTCTTCTGAGTAGTTTGTAATAATTAGTGAATAAAATAAGGTTTATCTGTTTAATCCCTAGATTAAATACTTTTTGGTAAAGACGAATGGCTGAAGTTTAAAATCTTTGGCATGGTAAAGTATTGCATGCTAAAAGTTTGTCGTAAAACTTTTAGTTTTTTCTATCCACAACAAAGCAGAAACACTGACCTATATAATTTGGCTATCATTATAAATCAGGCAGTGTTATAAATTATTATTAGTATGTTTTCCTATATTCTAGGTGTATTGACAAATATACAAATTCACATACACAACCCACACAGACCCGAAACAGCAATTTGTGGTTGTCAGTGTTAATTCGTATGGGATTTGAACCCGCGACAAGTTGAACAGCAGCCAGTTGCCCAGCCAACACGTCAATCGTGTTAATGTTTTTTAATGATATTCTTACAAAATCTGGTTGCAACAGAAATATTTCTGCACTTTCAGTTAAAGATTATTATGAGTAATCTAGGATTATGATAAACCCGAACTGGCGATGACTTTACCCACTCACATCCTTTTCTTTTTCTAAAAAAAAAAAAAACAATTCATTGTTACAAAATAGTTTATTCATTAACAAATAAATAAATACAACTTTATTGTATCGACATAAGAACTAAAAGTTAATTATTTCCACTTATTAAATAAAAATGTATCAAAAAAAAGATTTTATTTCACTTTGGTTCAATTTTAATATATTCTTGTTATATTTGTGAAAAAATTAACAAGAAGATTAAAATTAGATTAAAATACAATTAAGTATATCACTTGAAATAAGCTTATGAATTATCCCATAATAATACTAACAATCTTTGGATATAGATATAAGATTTCGTAATCTAAGCAAATAATCATCATCAATAATCAATGATCATTCCGTCGTGCGCCCCGGAGCAAACCGGTCGTTTCGTTACTACTCAGTGTAACTTAAAACAATAATAACTTAGTGTGCGTAACAGTGCATGTGTGACTAGCAAACCCATCGGTGTTATCGGCAGTCTTTTGTGCGCGCGAACCCGTTTACCTGCATTACACAGAGTAGTGTTACGGACAGAGACTAATAACTTACTTGTCATGAATACTATAAACAGCACCTACGATCAAATTAGTGACGTCGACAATCCAACGCAATCAGGTGAAATGAGTGTTGATGGGTCTTTAATAGAAAAGGAGTCTCCTCCCCCTTACGTCACATTTCGTAAAGGCATATCGAGCAATGATAGCGACCCGGACTGGCGTGACGAACTCAAAGACTTCCAGGCAAACATAAAATCCATGCTCGAAACTTGCTTAATGAAACAAGATGAAAAATGTGCATTACTTTTATCCAAATTTGAAGACGTCAAGTCATCCATCAAGTTCATAAGCGACAAATATGATCGCCTAGATGCGGACTTGAAGGGCTTTGGATCACGTGTGACGCTGCTCGAGGAAAAGGTTTCTTCTCCTGATGCAGTCCAACAACGGATTGCAATACTGGAAACTAAATTGGAAACCGCTGAACAGAAATCCCGGAACTGTAACATCGAGATAAGTAATCTGCCTGAGAAGCGCGGTGAAAATCTAATGTCGATCTTTGAAAACATTGCCACCTTAATCAAGCAGCCGTTATCACCTCGTGATGTCATTGCTATTCATCGTGTTCCTCTAATGAATCCGAAATCTTTAAAGCCAAAGAACATAGTTGTAAAACTCTCCGGCCAAATACTTCGTGATAACTTCATTGCAGCGGCGCGTCTCAAAAAGGGAATCACATCTGAAGAACTTAATTTGAGTTGCAATCCCCAACAGAAAATATATATCAACGAGCATCTTACGCTACATAATAAGAACTTATTTCGTCAAACAAAGGAGATTGCTAAGCAAAACGGGCATCGATTTGTTTGGATCAAACACGGAGTCATACTCGTTCGCGCTGATATTTCCGAAGCAGCTTTTACTATTCGCTCCGAAAAAGACTTCACTAAAATCAAACCCTATAATAAAGAATCTAAATAAACTATTTAATAACGTTAATTATAATTATGCAAAAGTGCGCTTACACTTACACTTGTATTACTTAACTTATTACTTGATATTTTGTTTACCATACAATCTGTGCTCTCTGACTCAAACATTACTCTGTATTTCTACTAATGATGCGAGTGAAAAATATTTTACGATAACCCTCAATTATCAAAACATACGTACTATTAACTTAAATTTTAATGTATATCTGATTTGTTTTGTGTTAATAACCTGTAAGCTTATCCTAATTCTAGTTGCAGTTGCTATTTTAACAATCACATTTAACTTTGGTATTCACTTATACAGTAATTATATATCATTTTACCTACATTTTTCTCAATTGTATTTGCTACTATCGATAACATGTATTAAGTTGTGTTTCTACGATTACCGTTTAACACACTCTTATTTGTTTAGGACAAAAACTGTAATTGAACTGGGCTCCAGGTTTTGTTTTGGTAACGTCATTTATATTTTTTCTAATTTCGATGGATAAATACAATCTAAATGTTTATTATCAAAACTGTCGTGGATTGCGTACCAAGCTACATACATTATTTATGAATATCTTGTCTTTTTCCTATGACGTAATAATTTTAACAGAGACCTGGCTTATACCGAACATATCCAACGCTGAGTTTATAGACGACCGTTATTTAGTGTTCAGATGCGACCGCGACCGCTGCGCCACTGGGAAACGTGACGGAGGCGGGGTTCTGATAGCCGTCCTACGCTCATTACGACCAACTAACATTATGGTGCGCCCCTCTCACGCTAATATTGAACATGTATTTGTGCAACTGCCGGGTTCGCACCCAACAAAGCGCCATATCATAAGTGCAGCATATATACCGCCGCGTTCTCCGGACGATTTGTACACATCACATTTTGATACGTTACTTGATTTCATTAACGACATTAGTACAGAAGCAATTTACATAACGGGCGATTACAATTTACCTGACATTAAGTGGCTGAATTGTAGTGGATGTAATTATGTTGTTCCTCAACCGACTGATAATTTGGACATTCATTTATGCAACTTTATTTCTTTATCTAATATTTTCCAATACAACACACTAAGAAATAATTTGGGGCGTATATTGGATTTGTTTTTGTCTAATGTTGAATGTGAGTCTAAAACTTGTACGCCATTACTACCGCTTGATGCTTACCATCCACCTTTCTCGATAGCAACATCATTTATTACGAAATTTACACCAATGAAACGTAACTCATCTATGAGACATAATTTTTTTAAAGCGAATTATGAATTAATTAATGACGAGTTAAGCATGTTAGACTGGAATCAATTGCTTTGCGACCTTTCTGCTGAACAATCGGTTAACGCATTTTACGATAAAATTTATAGTATAATTAAAAGGCATATCCCGCTGTCTCGTATCAGGAACTCTGATTTTCCCTTGTGGTTCTCACCTTCCCTCATTCGTATTTTCAAATCCAAAGAAAAAGCTTGGTTGAAATGGAAAACGTATGGTAATGCATCGGATTATGTAAGTTTTTCTACTCACCGTAAACGTTTTAAATTTGAATGTGACAATTGCTTTAAAAAATACATGAAATCAGTCGAAGATAGTATACCGCTTAGCATTAAACATTTTTGGACATACGTTTCACATAGGAAGGGCAGGGCGGAGATTCCAGCTAACATGTTTCTTGAAAATCTTAACTCAAATGATCCAACCGAAATATGTAACATGTTTTCCACCTTTTTCACCTCCGTTTATGAACCTACTAATTTGAACCCTGCGATGTGGCAGCCACCGAGCATATATGCAAATAATTCGCCCTATATCTCTGAAATCTATTTACCGGTAAATGTTATACATAATGCAATAAAACAATTAGAACTAAATAAAGGTGCTGGTCCCGATGGCTTGCCACCCGTCTTCATAAAGAAAACCGGAGAAAACATTGTACTGCCACTTCATATTATATTTAATAAATGTTTACGAGGAGGCTTTTTTCCCGATATTTGGAAACGGGCACATATCACACCAGTTTTTAAGAGTGGCGATAAAATAATATACAAAATTATCGTCCTATCTCTATACTATCCACCTTGTCTAAGCTTTTTGAGAGTCTTGTACATAGTGAAGTGTACTCTCATGTTCATAATCTCATTATTAGTGAGCAGCATGGATTTGTCAAACGACGTTCGACGAATACTAATCTCATGCTATTCACAGACTTTATATTTAAAAATATGGATGCGCAAGTTCAAGTGGACGCTGTGTACACGGATTTTCGGAAGGCGTTTGACAGGGTGGACCATAAACTGCTTTTAGATAAAATAGCATATAATGGTATCCGTGGCAATTTGTTACGATGGTTCATGGCTTATATATTTAACAGATCCCAAAAGGTAGTAATCAATGGTTTCCAATCAAACTCAATTATTGTCACCTCCGGAGTGCCCCAGGGCTCAATAATGGGTCCCCTACTCTTTACCCTGTTTATTAATGACATTAAGAAATGCTTCATTCACTCCCAATTTCTTATGTACGCCGACGACGTTAAGATTTATAAGTCTTGCAAGAGCACTCAAGACTGCCTACTTCTACAGGAAGACCTCGATAGGCTATCCCTTTATTGTTCTTCCAACAAACTTCAGCTTAGCTTACCTAAGTGTAACGCAATCACTTTCACAAAAAACAGAAACATTATACAATTTGATTATAGTCTCAATTGTACCCATCTACAAAGAGTTGATCACATTCGAGATCTTGGGGTTGTGGTGGACTCGAAATTGCATTTCAATCTCCATGTTGATAACATTGTTAACAAAGCGTATCGTATGTTTGGTTTCGTTATGCGATCCTCAAGCGACTTTAAAAGACCATCTACGTTTCTACTGCTATACAAAGCTTTGGTTCGCTCTCAATTAGAATTTGCAGTCCCGATTTGGAGTCCTATCTTTGATGTTTATATAAAAAGAATTGAAATGGTTCAAAAAAAATATTTACGTGTTATGCACTACAAATGCACCAAGTCGAAATTACCATACACTCAATTATTAAAACGTTACAAGATTCAGAGCCTGGAGTCAAGACGCAGCCTACTTATGGCCATGATGCTTCATGGTTTGTGTAATAACAGATTCGATTGTCCAGATATTACTAATAGCATATGTTACATTGTACCTAGAACTGTGATGGGCCGAGGGGCGCGCGTGCCTCGGCTGTTCCACACCGCCAGGTGCAGAACCCACGCTGGCGCACGGGCGCCTCTTCGACGCATCGTAGATACGTATAACACACACTTCATCGAATTAGATATCTTTGCACTTACGCACTCTAAGTTCAAAAGGATGGCTATTGAATCCTTAAAGTAGTTATCTAACTCTTATTACCTCAAATAACACACGAGTAATTCTCTACTAAATTTCCTGTATGATTAACGCACGCGTTTAATAATTTTTTAAGCTATTATTTCGCGGACATTGGTGTGGGTTACACGTTTACTTAGTTTTAAATATATTGTGTCATACTTTATTGTAATGTGTAACTGTTTTATGTCCCAATAAAGTAAAATAAAAAAAAAATAAAATAAAAAATAACGCCTTACTTGAATTAACTGAAAAAATATCTTATTTTTGATATTTTGACTTAAGAAGAGCTTTTTTCAAGTAATTCACATAAGTCGTACAATATTACTACAGGAACGTTAACCATAAAAACTATCTATGTCTTTTAGGGCAGCCGAAAGGCATCTATGTATACAATATATACAACTATGGGAGGAAAATTATTAAATGCCCCAACTGTATAAACTTTTTTACTGTAGAGTTACAACTCTCATACGCGCATTCGACTCAGACGCGAATCCAAAACCAACTGCTTTACTGACATTAGATCTTCTTTGGACGTCGTAACGAACATCAACTTTATAAACTTTAGTCTCTCTTTTTGACAGAAGATATCGGCTCAAAAGTCTTGGAACTTCTGAAGTAATGTACTGGAACAATAAAAAGGACAAATATAAGTCAGACTGGTACTCGAACGATTCCGTAATGTAAGCACGTTTGTTGTATAGGAGCCTCCTTAAATATCTGCTGGGCTTGCGTGCCAGCCAGAGTGGTAGGTCAAGCTCAATAATCCCGGCATGGAGCAGGAGCCGTGTTGCGGTTCAAGCGCAAAGCATGGACCACCACAGACGTGGCCCTATATGGGGTGAGGTTCAGCCGGGGTTTCCGGGTAACCGCAATGAGACACCGCGGCCTTCTCCCCAAGCAGAAGAAGGAACGGTGGGGTTTTTAGTCAGTAAAAGTCTGACACTCCCTCCCACCCTACCCGAGAAGTAATTCGATGATTTTTCCCTCAAAAAAAAAGCCCCGGCATGGAGCAAGAGAAGGAACGAAATGGGTTTTTAGTCAGTAAGAGTCTGATACTCCCTTCCACCTCGGGCGAGTGAAGTCCTTTGATAATATTTCCCCTCAAAAACAAGCCCCCTTAAATACCTATATGTATTGTTTTGTTTTATTTATACTTGTAATAGGCATAACAGAAATACGTCATCCGTCAAAGTTTCAACTGCCTAGCTGTCATGGTTCTTGAGATTGCACAGCTTGTTGACAGACAGATAGACGGATGGATGGACTAACAATGAAGTTCCTTTCATTATCGGTTTATCCAATGAAAAAGTGTTAAGTAATATAAAACAAAACAGTTCAGACGAACTTAAAACGTGCATCATGCAACCATCAAGCAATTTTTTTTCATCTAGCAGTATTTATGTTTATTATACTTATACTTACATATCTCGAATCGAACTGCTTTCTTAATTGTCTAACGGAAAAATCACGTGGTCCCCATTTCGCTATTGGACGCATAATGAAGTTCCAATTCTGTAAATATTTATTTTAAATTCATCGGGAATTACACATTTTAAATCTTGATTGCAATAAATTTAGGTGCAGAATTAAAAAAAAAAATATGTCGATCTATAGGTAGTATAGGCATAGCAAAAATATGGTCAGATTGAGAAAAGCATATGACTGCCGACAAAAACTGTTGAAGGCTAACCCTCGGCTAGCGTCGGACACCATTGTCCGACACGGCGTTAGTGTTAACGTAATATATTAACAAGTAGTGGACTTAAATTTGGTAGAATATAATGTAAGATTATTATTCAGAAGATATTATTAAGATTTATTAGAAATTTGTTAAGATTAAATGGTGACAAAGTTTTAAAATAAACATAGATTAATAAATTACCAATCTTTGTATGATAATATACTTGGAAACTGTGAATAGCATTCCCAAGATAATTGGAAGAACCATCAAGGACCAAGACCACACGTAGTGCGAACATTCCTGTCCTACTTTCGTTTTTTGCATAACTTTCCACAAAGAATTGAACATAACATATACTTTGAACTGTAAACAGAAGTAAAACAAGATTTACTTTTTTTAAATACAAAAAGTTTGGTGATAAGGATGCCATACGCTTCTTTACCTTAGGTGTGGTGATATTTCTCAAATTTAATGAAGTATCAAGCGAAATCTATACTCCTAGCTCTAAAGCTGTTCTTAATCCGACCAACAAGCAAGGAATTTTAACAAAGTCAAATTTAAAGTCAAAATCAAAGTCAAAGTCAAAATCCCAATCAAATATGACACTTTCCAAGATATTTCAAGTAAAAATGTAACATAATGTATCACTTTATTATACAATTATTTTTTAATAACGTCACGCAAAATAAATATGAGGCAGATGAGGCAGAAGATAATGAACTTACCATGTAATAAAAAGGCACAAGCCGAATGCTTAAAATTCTCAGTTGCGTAGGAGGGGTTCCGTAGTGGAAGGTGAAATCGTCTATAAGTCTTCCTATTGGGTACCACAAGTATAGGAATACAATCTCACCCCAAGTTGCTATACCTTTTGCGTAAACCCATAGAATAGCTCGAGTCTGTAATATAACAAAAAAATATAGTGTTTTTGGTAAACATTTAGAGGCATATCTCAACAAACCGAAGTGATGCTACGACCTCAGAAAAAACCAAAAAAATTGCAGGTGTTTGCTGTCTCGCCATGTGAAAGGGACAAAATACTGTTTATTCATGACAAGTAATCAGAACCGCCGAAACTCCAGACAAATATAAATTCGTTGCCAGCTTTTGTGTGGATTCAGGAGGCTAAGAATAGCGGGAATTAGGCTCAAGGTCACTCACACGGCGAAATACAACGTAAACATTAACTTGATCTCTTTATTGGCGAGGCCGTGGTATCACTCCGGTCGAGCCGACCAGTGTGTAAAGCAAGGCCCTAACAAATGAGTAGGTTAGTAATAATTATAATATTGGAATTACATCAATAGCCGTGACGCAGTACATGATAATTCCAGCAATGAACAATACAAGAGAAGCACTCCATCGCTTAAATATTGGCCACTCGTAAACAACTGTTTCAATAATGCATAGATTTGTCACAACCTGAAACATATTCCGTTTAAGCATTCAAACCCATGTATCTATCACATTTTATGTACTATCAGTGTCATAAATGCATGGAGGATTCCAAATCAAAATCGTTTGTACGGCGTTTCATCGCCTTAATAATATACCATGGATGACATAGATGGCGCTAGTATACTAGTGGTATTGAAAAATATACATTTATAGTTTTTATCAGATACAAAGTTATTAACTTAATAAATTACACAAATTAATGCTACGATATTCCAAACCTTTTCAAAGCAAAGCACGCAATAACCAGGATTCGAACTCGGTAGCATAAAATTTACCAATGCCACTAGCCATTAGGCCATTGCGTAACCTTGAAATGTATTGAAATTATCCTACTCTTTATTATATTGAAGTTGTTTAGCAACTATAACCCGATCATAAATCTCAAAACAGTTGAGGGTAATTTAATATTATCTGTATAAAAATTAAACCTTTTTGTTCAATCATAACATTCTTTACTATCTTTGAGTGAGTTCAGTTACTATTTGTTTAACAAGTTTTTAATATTTATTTTTATTATGAGTTTGCGTTCAAATATTGATATGGCTACGAGGGCCCAAATAATAGCATTGCATAATCAAAGCTTAAATTATACTAAAATTTCGAGAGAAACTGGCTTAATCGTAAGTATTCTTTTAAAATTACCGTTCGTTATTTATTTTATTATCCATGGTTATCGATACATGAAAATAATAAACAATACACGTCCCTTACAGGTAAAGACTGCCACTTTATGGATATCTAAAGCTGTTTCAAGAAGAGGGTTCATTGGAGCACCGTAGTGGATCTGGCAGAAGACGTGATATTGACTCAGACCAGCTGCAACTTATGGGGCAAGGTTATGAGGAAAATTACTGGAGCATTGCCATCTTCAGTGATGCAAACAGTGAAAACTACATAGACGTGCTAAAAGATGTCATGAAGATGTGCTAGTGATAACGTTCGTGCAGGACAATTGTCCTATGTGTAATGTTCCATAATTGTGCAAGTGTTTAGTCAGCAATCAGACATACGGATTATTCCTTGGCCAGCGAGATAGGAGAAATAGGATCGATAAAAATGGTGGCTACACTAGTTTTTAGAAGAAAAGATATTGTTGACTATAGGATTAAGCAATTACAAGACCGGGGTAGCTAATTTATTTAATGGATAAATGTTCAAACTTAGTATTAGTAGGATCAATTTATTGACTACTTTATAACCAGCAACTTTTATTTACAGTAATGATTTTAATGTTTTACTAAATATGAGCAATAAAAATAAAAGCAATATTAATAGCTACAGATGATATTGATTGCAAAATAATTAATTATTTATTTATTAATTACTATAAACAATTCGTCCCACATCTAATGAATGCTATATCCCGGTCTTAGAAATGTTATTGATTTAAGGTCTAGCTTCAATTTCTTCCTTGTTCTGGAACGAATACTTAAGCTATGAGCCTTTGTCATAACAATGATGCACAAAATGAATCACTTTAGTCAATACTTTAATTAAATTTTATGGGGAGGTAAAATAGTTGCAGAAGTAAGGTTGCATATTATATAGAATCGTATTATAACATTGTGTTTAAAACTAACTAATAAATGACTAGCACAACACAATTTTGATTTAAAATACTTATTAATCTTATAAAAAGTGTATTAAATAATGTGCCAGTTAGCTGAAAAGTTATTAGGTCAGGGTATACACTATATGAGAAAGAAATAAATATTATGTTTTAAGAAATAAATGTCTGAAATTATAATGTCACTTAAATAGTTTTATTTGTTATCCTTTACGAGAAATTAAACTTAGTATTAGTATTAATCTGTAAGAAAATATGTTACTTTTACATTAATAGTAAGCACATATTATAAAAGTTATTTATATATTATATTAATATAATTATATATATTAATATATATATATATATATTAATATATTATATTTATTAATATAAGTTTATTCTAAAATAATATATATATATATATATATATATTTATTTTTGTATTTTTTTATAAATATTAAACGTCAAATATTTTATTTATATATTTTTTTTATTCAGCATATAAACATGTAATTACATTTTTAAATATTTCTTAAAAATAAATAATAAAAAACATTTAAAAATATAAAAATTGTGTTATTTTTATTAATTTTATATAAAAAAACATTTGTTAAAAAACCTGAATATAAAAATGATAACCCGGAATTGAACCGGTGCCCTTCGTCTTCATTAATCTATCGTTCTTATTCATCCGAGCTACCAACCGCATTTTTAATGATGTCGAAAATGCGGGTTAGTTTATAACTTTTATTATTGTCTATTATTAATTATTGATGCCATCTTTTAATTGGTTTGCTTGCCTTGACTTAGATGGCGCTATATTAAGTCCTCGGAAATGAGAAAATTTACATAATTTATGTGTATTTGAATATAAATATATTATTGTTTCTTAATTATTATTTTAACCATTAAAAACCTTATTGTGTGCCTCTGCAGTGTAAAGTTTTCAAGCTTTGTATGGTTATTTTCATTTAAAAGCAGCGCCATCTAGTTATCAATGGTAGCGTTATGCAACACCTGTCAGTCAATAGTCGACCTTAAGCTCTCCATGCATTTTTGTCACCCTTAGTACATAAATCCTTTACAAATATTAACTTAATTTTTTGTAAAGCTTCTTATGCGTCAGGGTTAAACATGTGGCAAGTACCAATGTGGTTTCTGATTTACCTATACATATATACATATATAGGTATATACTTTCTCAGATTATTAATTCACTGATGACATAGGTACGATGAACGCAAATGTCGTGAGGAAGTCTGGATTTATTATTTCTAATTACAAGTTTGAAATCGCCAATCCATCTTGAGAAAGCGTGGTAATCAATACTTATACCTCCTCTGTGTGAGAAGAGGCCTTAGTTCAGCAAAGGGTAAATAGAATGACGATGTAGAATTCTTTTATTTAAAAAAAAATCTGAAGATTTTCAAGTCAATACCATCACATGCACCTACGATACAGCAAAATTATGTGGGGTCATCATGGTGCAAAAAAAATGTTTTCAAAGAAAAGATGAGTTAATAATTATAATTACTTACAACAATACATAGTTCCGTAACCAACCCGAACACGGTGTAAACAACACTAAATATGTCGCCCAAGAAGAATTGTTGAAATAGCATCGGCCATTGGTAGAACCAATTGTGTTCATCTGGAATGAATTTTTTTACTAGTAGTAGCGTACACTAAACTCACTGTTCTAATTTCGTATTAATAGTAAGCCTTTTCTGCTTATTGCAACTGTCATGAAAATCAAAATGATTCTGTGTGTGTAGGAAAAATCACCAAGTGTCAGACTTTTACTAGGTAACTAAAAACCTCCTGTTTCTTCTCTTGCTCTAGGCTGAGGCCAAGGTGCCATATTCTGATTGCCTTAAAAATATGAACTAACAACTAACAATTAATATTTATACATAAACCTAGAAAACGCTACGAAAGACGCTGTTAAATAATGTACGTTTTTATACACAATAGAGGTAAAGCTAAAAGTCATCATCTAAGTATCACTCACTGAAAGACAAAGGCGGCATCGTCGTATGAATCAAATCCTCACAGTGGATTTTCACTTTTACACTTAGCAAGCCTCTGAACAGATACATCAATGCGTTCGATATCACCATTGCGGTGCTGTCTTGTGCTGGATTAATCTGAAATAAACATAACAAATCTCTAGATAGTATACTCGGTGGTCAACAAAAGGTGATTTGAACTAAAGGGAGATCCACTGAAAAATAGCCACGTCAAATACCTCACAGTGGCCGGGGTTGCGGGGTAAGCGCAATGAGGCACCGCGACCTCGGCCCAGAGCAGGAGAAGGAACAGGGGGGTTTTTAGTCAGTAAGAGTCTGACACTCCCTCCCGCCCGGCCCTGGGCGGGAGAAATCATTTGATGATTTTCCCCTCACAAAAAAAATACCTCATCTTAAAAAGAGCGTAAACCTATCTTATGTTTTGTTTCAACTATTCATTCCAGTGACTATTCTAGTCGCCCAATCATCTACTTTTCATCCCAAATTCTTTTGGGGTTAAGGGATTTTAATTCTTCTTCATATACTCGAGCTACCTATGCACTGTCACTTCTCTTATATTTTTGTTGCTTATGGGTGGTACTGTTGTTTATTATCAGGTGATGCATCTACTTGCTTACCTCCATACCTCAATGTCCACAATTGTCAAACATACTTAAATATTAAATTGAGACACCACAAAAAAGTTATATGGCATCTTTACCGAAACCCCAGCAAGACAAGAAGATTTGTATTTTCAAGACCAAAAAGATAAATATGACTAGTAAAACTTCCAAAACATTACCTCTTGCTTGCTTCTAGCAGTTAATATGTGGACTACTGAAGGCGCCGTAATCGATTCAGCAAGCATTTCAAGGTCAGCCGCCTGTAATGATGCAACTAGAGATGTGATTTCGTTCAAAACTTGATAAGTACTAATATCAGCTATTCAAATTTATATTTACTGTCTAAGTTTATGTACAAAATTGGGGTGATAATTCCGCTTGAATTAAATAAGAGGCGTGATGACTCTTCGGTGTGTGAGAAGATGTCTTTTTGTAGCAAGGGATGGTTTCAGACTACAATAATTGATACTTGATAATCTTTTTCTGGTTGAGTTGACAACGTAAACGAACGGAAGGCTAGTAGATAAGAAATTAACGTAGATAGATGAGGTATAACTTTGGTGCAATAAAATAAAACACAAAACTAAAAATAATAGGCTATAAAGAAAATTAACAAGAACAAACCAAAAATTAAAACTGACATTCTACATATATATTAAAAAAAAAAACAATCTGAACAAACAAACCGCGCACTAAATATTTACTAATATATGTACCTCTTACCATAAATGAAGAGTCATATTTAAAATCAGCTTCTTTGTATGAAGTTCTGTGAAAATCTTCTTTGTTCGTCACTTGGTAATGAGACACTATCAGGTACACAAAGATGCATATATCGACACAATTGATTCCCCATTGGCTGTAGTTTAGAACCTACATTTTTGATAAAGTTTTATTCTATATAGAATTGAATTGTTAAACATTTGAGCTACAAAATATAGAAGTACAATATATTTTTGCTGTACCTTCCAAAAACTTTTTCTCCAAGCGTACATCTGCAAGCCTTGCACAGCAAACCACAGTAAGATGAAAATAGTTATATTCCAATCGGTACTAATTTTGTAGACTTGTTGCCTAAAAGAAATAATGATTATTAAATATTGCTTGTGACGCCATGAGCTTCCTTTACATATGAAAGTTTTATGATTGATGACATGATTTTAAACAAGCCGTGTGTCAATACCAAAATAGAACACATTGACAATTTTAACTGTGGGAGAGCCATGCTTCGGCACGAATGGCTCGGCTCTCCCAAATAGCTCCCCAATCCCTGAATCTCCAAATCTCTAAACCCCAAAAGGTCGGCACACCTAACTCATCTGTGGTTGCAGGTGTCCATGGACGGCGCGCATTGCTTACGAGTACCATCAGGTAATATGTATTCGTTTGCCGACCTATAACATAAAAAAATTACGATCACCGTTTCTATTGTTAAAAGCAAAATAATGACACATTGACAGAGACCTAAAAACAGAGTCCATTTGTCTTCTTGAACTTCTATAATTTGCTGCCGTGTAGCGAAAATGGGGAATATAAGTAGATTATTACTAATTATCTAGTGAAGACGCTGGAGATCAGTAGACTGCCACTAGTTATTTATGATGTTACACTTACTTGTAATATTCAATTTGGGCTACTTGAAAATATTCACTCGTGTCCGAATCAATAAAATAAAACCCAGAAAATCTATGAGTTTTATTAATAAACTTCTGTGCAAACTCCTTTATTTCATAGCAATGCACTTTAAGAGACGTTCGTGGATCAATATATGTGCTATTCAAGCATCTGCAAAGTTATACAAACATTTGCGCATAAAAATCGCGTATTTTAATAAGACCAATTACAAAATTACTCTAAAAGTTGCCTGGAATCAACCTTTTAGCGATAAGGCCGCCTGTATACCCTATGCAAATTTTTCTTCTGTGCACCCATATCACAAACCTCTTTGGTGTACAATCAAGATTATTTATCCAATTATTTAATAAAAGTTGTCGAAAAAGCCCAAAGGATTAGCTATCTAAACTGGAAGTTGATAGGCCACATTTGTAAAGAACTATGGTAATCTTCCGAAGAACCTCCACAATCGATGATAGCTTCGTGCATTGGAAGTGGCCGAAAGCAGTTCCGACGCTAAACGATAAATGCATGATTGTAGGCTAGTCATAAGTACGCACGCTAATGGTTTCTTTACTAATGAAGAAAGTGAGAGAACGGAGAATGATGAGACAAAAGATGACATGCATACGTATAAGCGAAAAGAAACTTTTAATACAGACTTCAAAGACTCAGGTTAACAAAGCGTAATTTAATAATAATAATTAAAAATCCCATTTATTGCATCCCAGCCCAGAAAATATATAAAATTTTAGCAAAACAACATCTTTGAATACCTGTTCCATGGATTTTTCGCAATAATACCAAAACTTGTATAGTGAAACATTAAAACCAGTACGTCCATTATCAGCATGAGTTCCAAGAATCCAGTTATAATAAATAAATACTTTAAGCCTGTAAAATAATTTTAAAAGGAAATTATATTTACTTACTCGTTTCTTTGATCCCTTAAATGAAGAGGTGAAATATGGACATAATGATAATCTCACTCACTCGGCGATACACAACACTGTGGTTATCAAGTTTGTGCCTGTCTGTGGTTATTAGAGATTTAAGGACAGGGGATTTGAGCGTTGATGTTGAGGGTAAGAATTGGGCCTCCGGTTCACACGGCTTCCATTTTCCATTCCATTCCAATCACTCCGATTAGGCTTTCAGTAACCTCAGTCAAAACCCCAATCCCTTTTTGATCCCTAAATCTCCAAAAGGCTTGCCGGCCTTTCTGCACTCGTTGCTTTTCTGGTGCTCCAGGTGTACCATCTTCGGCACCGATACATATACGACCTATATCAGTTGCACTCAGGACTTCAAGATTAGCAAAATAGGTTTTAATATCCTAATACAAATTTTAAATGAAAATAATAAAAGTTTGCGCACCAATGCTGATCGGCACCATCTTAGCAATAAAACTGTGTTCCTCAGGGGCATACGATGCAAGGAAAAAATGAACGAATCCATGTGGTAGGCTCTTGAAAAATACGTTGAAGGCGTAAAACCAGAGAAAACTGTAAAAAATACACGAAATATTGTTTTACAATTATCGTAATAGGTTAAAATAATCAGATCTTATTCTATCTCAGAGTATAGATACATATATCTCAGAGTTGTAGCCGTGAGTGCTGGTTGCTTGAATTCCTTCAAAGCATATTTTTTAAGAATACATTTAAAAACATATGGCGAAGTTTTAAAATGAATAATAAAATGCGTCAATTAAATTACCTACCTATTCAATTCAACATGATGAGATGCAACTATCTCCGTTTTAGATTGCGTGGCCGTATACCCTCTGTAGAATGTGAGCCTCTCAAGTTTTGTCGATGGTATTGAAGGACGTTCCGATGGTAATTCTTTCTGGGGAGAAAAGAAAATAACAATACAACACAAACTTGTCTGAATTATGTGAATTGTATATTATTAAATATTATTATGAAACAAAAATGCATGATCAGTTGTACAAATTTCTACTATACATTTAGCTATCACGATTCAGGAGATACAATCCGCCCGTGAAGTACAAAGATTATGATAGGCGGACATACGGACAGCGGGATCATAGTTGAAAAAGAATCCTAAAGAAACCGACATTGAGAAAAATATGGTGTAACTAAAGTCAAAAGTGAATTACCTTCTTAACCAAATTTAAATAAAAACGGGGGTCCTCGTACTTAACACCTGTAGTTAAAGATAAAAGACTGCTGGTATCATAAGAATATTTTTCTCCATCACCGCTAACTTCTGCAGCGGCCATGATTTTTATAACATCTTTAATAATTCTTTTCAGTCAAAATGATTTCCTTACACCTGCAAAGAAAATGGGTATGTTTATTTATTGAAGATATTTTTTTGTCTTTAGTCTTTCCTTATGCTGTATTCATCAATTTGATTGCTATAGATACGAAAGTTCGAGCTATTTAGATCAAAGAGTAGTTAAATAGTATTCATTGAGTACCTCAAAACCTATTTCAGGTTTCCGTGGTATATTACATTTACAAATTCTCACAACATAAACACATTTTGAATATTATAGTAAAAGTCAATGTCAAATTATGATGACTTATAGAAATTCACCAAAGAGTTTTTGAATGATTTCGCTTTCAATTACGTCTCTTTTTTTCTCAAACTATCGTCGTAGTTCTGGTTTAAACAACATCAAGCGATCCGTTTGTTTGCTTTAAATCTCAAGAAAATAAAACAGTAGCCCTCAATTCCTTCTCGTGCTCCAGGCCAAGGCCGCGGTACCTTATTGCGGTTGACCCATGACCTTAGATTATCAGTCAGTCTGGCCTTTGAATGATGCAGCGAAAAATAAACAGACCAAGCACTGATTTTAAATACCAAGTATTTAAAATCAGTGCTTGGTCTGTTTATTTATTTAGCAAATAACGTCTTTTGCCTTTTAAAACAAATTCGTTACTTATACCTACTTCTTTTCTGTCTTTCATATTAATAATGCACCTACTGTTTTTGCATACATCTTTGCATCTGATCTGCATCTGACACATCATGAAATGTAACTAAGCACAAGTCCGCCAATGGATGATTCATAACAAATTGTAAAAAAATAATAAATATTTAAATTTTTTTTCTTGTTTTTTATTGAACTTTTTTACACTTATACTTGGTGTACCGTGTAGAGTACTTAATATTAAATTTAAGATATATCTTTTTTGTTTAGAAAATAGTCTCATTGAAAAATCTATAACATTGTTGTAGCAATTACTACGTATACTCAAAAAATAACTCCCCGAGAATTGCCTATACAACTTGCAAGGCCTAACAGGTCTTAGACTGAGTTAGTCTAAATAATTTCTAAAGCTTCAATAAATAATCGATCTTTCATCTAAAGTGGTCTCAAGACGATCGCAAAACCGGCTATTCAAGCGCCACATAAAATATTAACTCGTTTTGTATGAGCTGATTCAGAGGTCGCTACTAAGAATGTCAAATTGTTTAGTGCTTTCAGTTTTATATTATTTTTATCTATATAAGTAAAATGATAAAGACTCACAGTTTTATCAGAGTCAACAGAGTGGTGTAGGTTTTTTTAACTATATAAAGGAATTATGTTACTGTTTGCAAGCACGATTACCGAACTAGGTTTAGGCAGTATTTTTGGAATTGTTACAGATATTCTGCATACAAGAATATCCCCGAGAAGAAGAAGAAGGTCCCGTGACCGTGCAGATAAAAAGCGACCGGTTGTGTATGTATAATGTAATACACGATTTTTAAAAGACCAGCAACGCGTCTGTGTCTCCCCTATTATCGAAGATGGGCAACGCAGATTTCTTATCATCAGGTGCATCCAAAAATCTGTTCTTTTGCCTCCTATTCCATAAAAAAATGAATGACTGTAGTCGTGGATGGGAAGCTGCTCTTAAGCAGCTTGTCGGTCCAACAAAACTGAACGTTCAGTGCCTCTCAAAGAGCTATCAAACCATTATATAAGGGCCGATTTACAACCGGAATGCCGATTTTCAAGCGCAATACTATACGACTGCCCCGACCCGGAGAAGAAGAAGGGACGGGATTATTAGTCTGTAAGTCTTTTTTACTAGCCCACCCAAAGTATCATTCATTTGACGATATTCCAATACTAATAAAATACCATGAATGGGGCAACCAGTAACATTACTATTTAATGGATATGTAAACTCTATTGATGGTAAAATTCGAGTTCGATCTGTTTAGTTTCCTTTTTTTAGTTTAAATATTATCATCATGAAAAATAAACCAATGGTAGTGGTTAGTTGTCGGGTACAATTCCGCTGGGGACTCGAACATGTTATTAAGGGGCGCACTTCATCACCACAAGATGACCTGACTCTGATGTAACTCATTTGTTACTGGAATTATTATGAGATTTTCTACATTATACAGCTCTACGAAACAACTGGTTGTTGCTTTTTTGTTCGTAACGATGAATATACTGGTCACTGGTATAGCCGCATTAAAGTGTTGCAAGTTTCTTGCTTGTTTATCATGATTCTCAGCCCACTGCTGAGCAAGGGCTAAAAATCGGTCATTTTTTGTTGAACGTTCAAATTAAATTACAAGTCAGCTTTATGGTTATGTATTACAATATTAATGGTTCAGATTGGTTAACTTGTTCCTGAAACAGCCTAATTAATACTTAAGTTAAGGTTAAGGTTCAAGGTCTTTTGATTCATTTATCAAAATGTTGGTACCTATTTCATTAAACAGATACTTTTAACAATATATGTATGCGTCATAGGTTGAACGACTTTGGCGCTAAATGATACAATTATAGATTCTTTTTGCATTGTTAGTTATACAGCTTACCTAATGGTAAGTGATCGCAATGATTATGTTAGTCGGTACAACTGCAACACCAGAAACCTAACAAGTTAATTCTATTAGCTTTCTCATAAAAAAAGAACAACTCTAAAAAACGTCGCCTAGTCCATTTTACATTCATGAATTGTGACACACCTATGTATGAGCCCGGCCCGTGGTCCCAACTTTCTTTAAATAAAAAAGTATCCACGCACTCCGATTTTCTCACAATAGGCCAGCAACGCACTTGTAGCCTCGTAGATGTTACGGGTATCCTAGGCAATACCATTTGCTTACCATCAATCAGGTGACCCGTCCGATCCCATATCTAATCGAATATATCGTGCATGCGCTTAGTGATACCCAAAACATTACATCATCAAGAAGAAGAGAACGAAACATGTCAAATATCATCATCATCATCATCAGCCTGTAAGTGCCCACTGCTGAGCAAATGCCTCTTCTCACTCACACGGAGAAGGTTAGAGCATTAATCACCACGCTTGCTCAATGCGGGTTGGTGATTTCAAACTTATAATTAGAAATTATAAGTCCAGGTTTCCTCACGATGTTTACCTTCACCGTCAGTGGTGTCTAGATAATCATAGAAAGTACATATAACTCTGAAAAAGTCACATTGGTACTTGCCAGGTTTCGAACCCTCATGCATGAGAAGCGGGCTCCTTAACCTCCGTACCACCACGACACAATATACCTTTTAGATATATATTTCAAATATACCTTTTAAGAAAACAACTTGCGTCCATTATCAAAAAAAAACCTCTACTCTCTCTCTTTCATGTCACAACAGAGAATGAGCATTTCTTTTACTTTCAACAAATTTAGTAAGTCTAACGAGTCAAATATATCACTCAAACGATATATTTGAACCAGCCTCACAATGCAATTTCACTCAATTTCCAAAGAATGTCGCCAACATCACTCAGTGTTTCGGAATTCTTATAACTCGTGAAGATCGTAAAACGAATTTATACGACAAAACCGTTTTACATTTAAAAGTTGGTTGTAAGAAGAGAGGATTGCATAACGTTTATCCCCTTTACAAAAGTTTAATTAAGAATAATTCTGCGGTAATACTGAACGAAGAACATTTTGTTACCGTTTCGCTCATAATTTGTATTTTTGGACAGTTCGGAAAAACGACTTCCACCGACGCTGGTAAGTTTCAAATTGCGTATCAAAAAATAAATAATCTGCTTTATGTAAGAACATAATTATGTAGTTACTTACTGATTTAAATTATAATGCAATGCCTTGTACAAAAAACTAACGAAAACTCGCCAAGAATCGGCTTCATTCACATGGTCGTAAAATGTTAGCTCCAGTCTGAATAGCAACTTCAAATTCAAACACAGAGACCGAAAAACTTGTGTGCTAGATGCACACAAAAAAGCCCCAGTAAGAACTAACATCCAAAGTAGAACCCAGTAACTCACGGCCATTGGACCTTAAAAATTCAAACGCAGGAAAAACCAAGAAGCCATTTCGTCTACGCTCCCATCTTCTGTACTGTACACTTACTTGCAAAAGTATCGCCACAGGCGCAATTTCAGCAATTTTGGCTCACTATGTTTACTCAACGCTGATATTAGTTCTGGGCCGAGATACGAGCCAGTGAGTTTATTTATTTAGGCTTATGCAGTAAAGCTACAGTTGCAAAAATGAAATTCTCTCTGAAATTAAAAACAAAATATTTATATGTAAGTCGGTGTATCTTTTTTAAGTTTGTATTATTATAAGTCATACGTTATCAAGGTTATCGTAACCTTTATTGTAGTTATGTCACTTGATCGTTGAACAGAATGGCTAATAGATTTTTTCGATCATCAACGGATAACATTTGTATATTTAATAGAATAAGTGTGAGAGAGCTAGCTTCTGCACGAATGGGTCGGCTCAACCGGAGTGATACCTTACAGAATACCGGCGTGAAACAACCACAGCGTTGTGTTTCGCCGTGTGAGTGAGGTTACCGGAGGCCTAATCCCCCCTATCCCTTCCCGATCCTTATATCCGCAACCCTAATCCCCAAAAGGCCGGCAACGCACTCGTAACTCCTTTGGTATCGGAACACCACCCATGGACACCCGGAGGTGTCCATGAGCGGCGCCGATTGCGTTTGCCGATCATACCATAAAAAAACCTAAATCAAAAAGGAAGGTATTTTTATTTAAAAATTATGATTTAACAATAATGTTCAAATTGAAAATACCTTATTTTATAAGTTACTTTTGTTTTCTAATAAACAAGCGATTTGCTCTTGTCACTTCGTGATTATCATAATTATGTATAATAGTAATTTGTTGTAGACTGTGTACTTAAAAGTGCAGCTCAAATAATATTTATTTTAATATACATACGAAATCAACTCTAACAAAAATATAACTAAGAAACTGGCAACATGCACAACAATCTTAATTTCAAGTTTAC